AACATACAAAAGCTAAAACAGGCTGAAGCAGTTTACTTTTGCCAGAACCTCCTAGGAAGGGTGAACATCTGCTCCTCCTCTCTTCACCCCTTTGCTGAGTTGTTGCTGTTGTTGTTGTGTTATGTTGTGTTGTTGTTATGTGTCTTCAAGTTGTTTCTGACTTATGGAGACCCAAAGACTCATGGCGATCTTATCATGGGGTTTTCTTGGCAAGATTTATTCAAAGGAGGTTTGTCATTGCTTTCCCCTGAGGCTGAGAGAGTATGACCTGCTCAGGGTCACACAGTGAGTTTCAAGGCCAAGGTGAGGATCAAACCCTGGCCTCCAGAGTCGTAACCCAACACTTAAACCACCACGCCATGCTGGCTCAATTGAGTACAAACAGCTTTTGCACTTTCAGCTCAATTTGCTGCAATTGAAGTAAGCCAAGGGCAAAGAGGAAAAGTGGAAGGAGAGGAGAGAAACTGGGACACTCTAAAAGCAGCTGAAAAAATAGGACAAGAGAGGAGAAATCAGGACTGTCCTTGCCAAACTGAGACAGTTGGAGGATATTCTTATGCTCTTGGCTGTGAGCATATCCGCCTCTCCTGCTATTTCAACTTTTCTCCTTTCTCCAATCGCTGGGAAAAAATTGGAGGGTATATCATCTCAGAAAAAAAGAAGGTTTTTTTTCTGAGCATGATCCGAGTTCTTTCGATTCACAGCCTGGCAAACTTTTCCTATTTTTGAACCACAGCTGTCTGGAAGATGGTGACAGTGGTCATGCTGGCTGGGGGATTCTGGGAGCCGTAGTAAAAAAAAAAAAAGAATGTTTCTAGGCTTTAATCGGATTCTGATGAGGCTTAAACTGTAGAAATTAACCAGCAATCTTCACTCCACGGGTAAATGTTAGTACACTATCCTTGGTGCTCTCTCTCACTCTCTCTCTCGCTCTCTTTCTGAAAAAAAAAAATTTGGAGTTTTCCTGGTATCCTCCTGAGGACCAGGTCTTGGGCTTATGAGAAATTTGGCTTCGGTCTCCTCCATCCTAAAACAGGAGAGGGATAAGGGAGGAGAGAACCACTCTGCCTCTCCATCCTGCCAAACTTCATTGGGTCCTTCTGGTTCCAGTTGACCTATTCCACTCCAGCTGAATTTGGCTGACAGCTGCCAAATTCAGGGAAGCGGAGGGAGTCTCCCAAGCCCTGGTTATAGCCAGGCTTTTGGCACCAGCAAGAAGAAACCCGTGAACTCTGTGTGCTCTGTCTGTGGAGCATCCTGTGCGGGGGCCGGGGGGACCACAGACGCTTGAAAATCGGCTCCAAGAAGGCAAAGAGAACCTCTTAGCCGTGGCCTCTGGGTGTCCAAAGGACCAGACTGGGGACTTCTTTGCTGCTGTTGTGCCGATCCAGACTCCCTGCCGCCTGTCCCTCTCCTTTCTTCAGCCTCTGTCCATCTATTTGCATGCATCTTGTTTGATCTCATCTGTCAATTCTCCATCATTTTATTTGCCCACTTCTGTTTTTCTCTGGCCCTGCTATTCTTCCAGCAATGGCAGACTTTGCACCGAGCTCCAGGATTATTACCCGGGTTTCTCAAGAAGCTGGTAGGAATGTTATCACAAGTTAGCTCCATCGCCGCTTGGGATGTCTAGCTGCAGATGACTGTTAAATGCATTACAGAGTTTGGTAATTGTACTTTTGTGGATCATAGCACCCAACTAGTGTGCCCCTTGGGGATTCTGGCCATTATATTCCTCAAAAGGTGATGTTTCAAAGCTTTGTTGTGTTGTAGATGCCCGAAAGGCCTTGATACGGCACTTACCTCTGTGTCATGTGTGAGCGACATCTGGCTATCCAGTTGTCGGATGACAATTCACACCATCTTTTGCTATTGTTGTGTTGCCTTCTAGGTGTTTCCGACATGGCAACCCTAAGGCGATTCTATCGTGGGGTTTTCCATACCCACCAACATTTCACAGGTGAAGACGGGGACACATGTGGCAAAGCAACTACAGAATGTGGTCAAGATGACAAAAATTCTTAACTAAGAAGAACCCACAAGCAACTGGAGGTCTACAGGGAAGGACACGATTTTGCCGCCTTCTGTCCTCTCCCTCCTGCCCGAGTTAATGAAATGCAAACTACTTTTGCAGTGTGAACTCAGTTTGAAACAAACTGTGGAACTAAGCTGAGGACAAAGAGGGAAAGCAGGGAGTAGGGAGAGAAACCAGGACATTTTAAAAGCAGTTAAAAAAAATTGGGATGAGAGACAATTAATCGGGACTCTTCCTGCCAAAATTGGGAGAGTTGGATGCAGGGTTGCCAGAATGAAATTGCAGAGGAATACTATAAGAACCACTGCTTCCTAGACAGTTGAATTCAAAGATATAGCTGTGTTAGTCTGTAGAATCACTATGTAGAGAGATCTTGTAGCACCTTTGAGACGAACTGAAAGAAAGAAGTTGGCAGCAGGAGCTTTTGTAGACTTCAGCCTACTTCCTCGGATGTTTTTGATGGAGTGGAAACCAGGGACAGACATATGTATGCCCTTGGTATGTGAGAATGTCAATTCAAATTCAAAATCCTTTGTGTATGCAAATGAAATAGCAGGTCCAGTTTTAAAGATGGTCGTTGGTGGACAAAGACATAGCCATTGGGTATGGAGATGAGGTGGCAAGACCAGATGGTTGCATGACATCTGCATCTGCTTAAATCCCCTATTCTATGCAGCCCTTACAGATGCAAAAGTCCAGATTTCAATCTGGAAATCATAAATAGAAGGTATGCCTTCACTAGTGGCTGTGTTGGCTAGAGCCATTGAGATCAGCAGCTCAAAAGGAGGCCCTCCTCTATTCGAACTGCAAGCATTTGGTTATAAGTACCCCATGACATAGAAGGATTTCCCCTGTGGCAGAACATTTGCAAACCATTTACTGAAACTAACCCCATTCTAGTTTACTGCCAGTTTATCCATCCAAAGCATCATAATTCTCCAGGCACTTCTCATATATAATGCCTGTCATCCTGAAAGAGAGGTCAGCACTCATTTTTCCGGTAACTTTTATGGCATATATTCATAAGGAAGCACAATGTATTGAAGCAGAATGAAATGGCTTTTTAGAAAAAATTTATTAGTTATTGTTAGGATTGAACAGGCTGTGCTGAAAAGACAGTGTTCAGCTGATAGCATTGTTCTGACCAGAATGTCCTGATAAATCCTTCTTGGTGGGCTCTGCCCAGAACTGTTTGATAACTGATTTCCAATGATGTAAAACAACATTTCAGAAGTGCATCAAGGGGGTGGGAGAATGATGTTTCTGCATATGTCACATAGCCAATTAACTGTCTATAAAAGTGTTCAAAACCTGTTTCTCGGGGCTCTTGGTATTTGGAACAGGCACTTCCACCAAGAGCCCGCGCGAGACTCAGAAATAAAGGCTCCTTTCCGAAGATCTCTGTTTTGGTCTTTTATCTGAGTTTCTGCTACAGTATGTGTGAGAACTGGCTATTTTATCTCTGTCCTGCTCCGAAAAACACTGTCGGGGTAATACAATTAATAAGCAATGTGTTGTTCCTTGAGCATACCTTCCAGCATTTCACAGATGAAAACCATGAAAGGTGTGGCCAAGCAACATTAGAGTGTGGTCAAGATGGCAAAAGTTCTTAATGAGGCAGAACGCAAAAGCTAGGAGCGGCTGCGGCAGTTTGCTTTTGCCTGAACCTACTGGGAAAGGTAAGACTCTACCCTCTCCTCTCCTCTCACGAGTCAACTGAGTGTAAACTACTTTTGCACTTTAAATTCAGTTTGCATCAACTGAAGTAAGGACAAAGGGGGAGAGCGGAAGGAGAAGAGAGAAACTGGAATGTCTTAAAAGCAGCTGAAAAAGCGGGATGACAAAGAATTCATCGGAACAGTTGGAAAAGCAAGATTTCACTCTCTCTTCTTCCTCCATGGAGTTAACTGAATGCAAACTACTTTTGCCTTTTGAACTGAGGGTGTGTAGCCATTGAAGTAAGTCAAAATCAAAAGTGGAAGGAGGAGGGAGAAACTGGGACATTCTTAAAGCAGCTGAAAAAGCGGGATGACAGAGGATTAATTGGGATTGTCCTTGCCAAATAGGGACGGTTGGGAGGATAGGCTGTGAGCATTTTGGAGAGCCACCTCTCCTGCTATTTCAACTCCTTCCTTTTCTCTGATCTTTACCCTCTCGTAAGCAATTCTCATGACCCAGCTAAGGGCTGACCAGGGTGCCCTGTTATAAACAGCTGGTCCTGGCATCCCTTCCCAGATCCAGCTGCATCTTAGCCCTGATCCAGGGTTCCTCTCCCCATTGTCATGGTAAAAAACAGTCAGCTTCCGCAAGGTCAGCCCCTGGTCCCCATGCAAGAATCAAGGCCTCCTGCCAAGAACGTGACACATAAATATTTACTCTGTGGCGTAAGGGGAATGTGACTGGGCCTGGAGCCATGGGGCCTGGGAGGAAGCCAGAAAGCCAGCTGGACTCATTGGCTGGGGGGACCATAGAAAGACAACCATCACAGCTCCAAATGCTTTGGAGATATAAGGCCTGGGATGCTCCTGGAGGATGCTTTGGTAGAGACTGGTGGTTCAGATTGGACTCTGTTCTTGCAACATGGTGGCCAATATCGGAACCCTCCAATATTTCACAGATGAAAACCAAGACACATGTGGCCAAGTTAGATCAGAGTGTGGCCAAGATGGCAACAGTTATTCCTCAGGGAAAACCCACAAGCTCAGAGGCCGCAGCAGTATGCTTTTGCCTGAGCCTCCTGGGAAGGGTAAGATCCGACTGTGTCTCCTCCTTCCATGAGTCAAATGAGTGCAAATTACTTTTTGTGCAAATTACTTTTGCGTCAACTGAAGTAAGCTCAGACCAAAAGGGGGAAGTGGGAGGAGAAGAGAGAAACTGGATCATCTTTAAGAAATCTGAAAAACATACATACTTTTTGTCAGATATATTGATGTGTTTTTGGTGACTGGCACTCCCAGTTCTGAGAGCCAGCATGGCATAGCGGTTTGAGTGTTGGACTGCAACTCTGGAGACCAGGGTTCAATTCCCACCTCGGCCAGGGAAACCCTTGGGCAAGTCATATAGTCTCTCCGCTTTAGGGGAAGGCAATGGCGAAACCTCCTCTGAACAACTCTTGCCAAGAAAGCCCCATGATAAGTTCTCCTTAGGTCAGAAGCAACTTGAAGGCACACAACAACAAACCCCTGGTTCTAGGCGGCAGAGCAAAGAAAATGATCTCAGCCCGCTCTTTTCTCTTTTCACTCCCCATTGCACCCAACGCTCAAAGGTTGGATGGTGTTGATCAGGAGACAGAGCCCAGTTAGCTAAAATAGAATTCAAGGGCAATGGGTGTTATTGATTTTATCTCCAGCTCTGAAAAGGCGATGTTTCTGCTCATCATTACAGAACAAATTTTTGGGCAGTCTGTAGATTCAGGCACGAAATAATCTTATTTAATATTACACTCAGAAATGACAGCGAAATCAAAAAATTTCCCCACCCACCACCCCTGCCCTAAAATACCCTCTCCCTCCCCTTTTTTTAATTGCTGGTGTGGCAGTTAGCCAAGCATTGAACGAGTGCAAAAATATCTCTCCCCATCCCACCCCACACAAGAAACCAAGTCTGTATTCAGCCCTTTTAAGTTCCAGCACCTTTCTGTTGGGAAAGTCAGGGGGTGGCAAAATGGCCAATTGGTAAGGGGCTAGAAGGTGCAGATACGGAGTTAAGGGGCAGAGTCACTTACCCCCCCCCCCCATTTATTTCTGCATGCTCTTGCATGTGACAAAGCAGTAGTTTCCGATTTTTGGTTCTGCAGATATTTTGGACTTCAACTTCCAGAATCCGTGGTTAGTCAGGAATTCAGGGAGATGAAATCCTAAACATCTGGAGGAGCAAAGTTTGGAAACTACTGAGGTCAGGGGTGTCTTCATGTCGACTCAACAACAGCTAAGACTTGCACTGTCTTCCAGAGAGGAACCAGAGGATGGAGGCACTGAATTCTGTGAAATTGGATGGAGTCCCATTTTTGAAATATGCACTGAGCAGGTGCCTCTTCCCATCTGTCTTCTTCTTTCGGGGACAAAGGGCTGAGAGCAGCACCTGCCAGGTAGCCTTGGCATCGTCCAGCGACCCTGGCACCTGCTAGAAACATGGACACATTCGTACCACCCAAAGGAGAACGGTTCGGACCTGATCTGAACCACGCTGCTCTAGACCTTCTTGTTCCAAAACCATGGTGTCCTGTGACCTTCAATGCCTTGGACCTCTTTTAATATTTCTAAACTTTGCTGCCGTTTTGCTGAGAGTCCTTTTGGCTTTTATCTCTGTTTTTTAAAAAAAACCAGATCCCAGATCAGTTTATTCTTCCAACAAATTCTTTCCAGCAGGAGAGGTGACGGCGGCACGAGGAGAAGCCTCCTATCTTCCTTTTTTAAAGATCTATTATTATCCTGATAATAATTATAAATTCTCTCAGCATCTGAAGCAAAATAATGAAAAAGGATTCAAGAGTGTTACCCCCCCAAAAAACCCCATAATCTTACAAAATAAAATAATAAAATAATAATAACAATAATAATAACAACTCTCACTGAATGATTTAAAAAAAAAAGTGTTTTTGCTTTTTTTAAAAAAGGCATGAGGTCTTCTTGAGGTCGGGGGAAAGAGCAGTCTGTCTTTCTCTCATCTTCAGTCCTGGCCTCTTTCCCACTTGGATTTTTAAAAATTCCAGCCCTCCCGGAATGGGTCTCCCAAGTCCGTGGCTCCTTTTCCTCAGCTACATCGACACGATTTGACAATCATGTTGGAGAGCTGTTCCACCTTGGCTTGGCGGCCGACATAATAAACAATCCCCAAGGGTTCGAGCTCATTTGGGACACAGCAAGGTGTGGCTGAGGCAGATGGGTTGTGTTGGTTGTAAAGAGACAGGACCTGTCAAAAGAAAATTGGAGCAACATATTTAGAAGTGGGATGCTCTGAAGTGGGCACCCTAGGACAGGCCTATCAGGGGACTGCTAAACCTAGTGGCAAACATTTGGAGAGGGTACTGTTGGGCAAGCCAAAGATGTGGCCATAGTGGAATGAATTTAGGACTTTATCGCACCAGCCTGTTGCCCCACCACAATCGTGCTAGTTTAAGAATGAAACCATACTGGCTTAGCATCATTTTGTATCACACATACTTAGCATCATTTCGTATCACGCATACAGCACTGTGGCACTCCATGGTTGCATGATCTGTTTTCTGCACTACCAAACGCCAACTTCCAATTGTGACTGTGGCTGCCAACTGCCTCCCAAAGTTGGCTGCTGTGTGAATGTGCACACAGCAGGCGGCCTTGGGAAGCCATCGGAGGCTGCAATCGTTGCAAGGGGGAGAGGGGAAAAGGAGCGAAATCCTACCCAGTCATACCATGCAACTGCATGAGAAGCAGAACTGCAGCGGAAGGGACCAATCGCACAAAGGCAGGGATGGAATGGCAGTGAGATTAAGAGCCTATTGACAGGTTTTGCCCATCAATGAAAAGGTGCACTACAGTAATGAATGAATTGCAAGGCAGCAGCAGGACTGACACAACGTTGCGTGATAAGTACTGGACAAAGACACTTTTAACCTGTAAAATTCCTTAGTTTAGGGAGTTACATAGTTAAAACCTGAGTGAATAGGACTCCTGTACCCTTAAGGGGGGATTTCAGGAGGTATTGTTTGTTACTGGGTTGTGTGACAATCACTACATATTGAAATCCCTCCTTCTACACAACCATGAAAGTTAAACAAGTTGTCTCCATTTTTCAGTCTTGTAACAATGCAAGCTGAGCAGGCCTGCCCTCCAACAACTACGAGGAACACAATTGCTTCAAAATCAGAGTTTCAATAAGGTAATGTAGGTTTTATCCACAAGCCAGGTTTTTCCAAGGAAGTCTTGAGTCAGAGATGGGATCCATGTGTCCCTCTAAATGCTGAACTGCTATTTCCATTGCCCCTTACTATTCTTTATGCTGGCTAGGGCTGATGGGAGTTGCAGTCCAACATCATCTAGAAGGAGACATATTTCCCATCCCCGTTCTAAGGCAAATTGCAGACCAAGAGCTTGGTTCTCCCTAACTCCCAATCCTATGCTTATGGTAATGGAAGGACACGCCACACCACCTTGCCTTTGCCAACATGAAGTTAGTTCTTCCATCCCAAAAGAAGAGTGGCACTGAAAAGCAAAAAACTCCATCCGGCTGTAAAGGCAACTGGGCATTGCCAACCATTTTATTTATGTCTTGTGTGTGAATGAGTGGGTTTTGGACCACAAGGAGGGCAGTTGGGAAATGGTGAACAGGAACTAAGGGAGGCCATCTGTTTAAACTACACATCACAAAAAGACACCCGTGGGATTCTGAAAACTAGGTATTGCATTCATGCGTCTGGTTAAAATGGGACCGGAGAAAGGGGTTAGAGACTCCAAAGATATTTTTTTACAAGCAATTCATTATGTGATGTTAGAAAGTATAGTCTGCCCCCAAAAATGTGACTGTTATGTTGCCATTCAGGCTAGCAAGACTGAAATGACTTAGTCTTTGCACACTGCTTGTTGCTGTTGTTGTTGTTGTTGTTGTTTTTAAAGTTATCATGGGGAGGACTGATAAGGTATAATATTTGGGGGGAAAAATCTGCTCCAAATTGCTGGAAAAAATGCTTTTAAATATCCAAATTTGAAAGTAACTAGAAAATATTATTGACGGAACCACTGAAACTGATGCTGAGATCATTCCTGCTCATTGTGATATTATTTTTGAAATATGGCTTTCGTACCCTCCCTTTGCAGGGTGGGGAGTGGAGCTTGTTATAGCTTGCAGTACTTGCAGCCTTTGCTAAATTCAAGCTTTAGGAGTGATGGGTAGGATAAGGGCAGGAGTAAAGAACATTTTTGGAGAAACAAAAGGGCTTCTGTCCTCACCTTGCTGTATTGAGTGTCTAAACTCCAGAGGTAAGGGCATGGCCCCATGCAGAAGTTGGCATAGTAGCCCTTGGGTTCATGGATCCACTTCCATTTCAGGTCTTTACGGAAGTCAATATAAAGGCGGCGCACACAGCAGTTCTTTTCCTCTGGTGATCTGTAACATAAAAACGCAAAAGGAGTTAGTGGAGAAATCCTTGAGTCTTGGTGATCCTTCCCTTTCCCTGCTCTAAACTGCCAGAATCTCAATTCTTTCTCTTTTCCAGTTCGGCAAAGACTTTGGTGGCAATCAATCCAATTCCAGTTTATTGGATTAGCCTTTACATGAATATGATGGCAGTCCTTGGGCCATGTTTCCCTAAAGACATCTAACTTGCCAAGGGCACCCATCCTCCCTATCTTTTATCTCACCATGACACCACATTCAAGTTTTTGGACTTCTAGGTCTTATTCCCATCCAACCATGGGGAACTTCTCCAACATTTCACAGATAAAAGCCAGGCCACGTGGGGTGTAGATGGCAAACGATAATGAGGAAAAATGAGGAAAAGCACACAAGCTAAAGAGTTGCAGCAGTTTGCTTTTGCCTGAGCCTACTGGGAAGAGTAAGATTTTAGCCTCTCATCTCTCTCCTGCTGAGTTAATGCACTGAAATGACTTGAAGGCACACAACAACAACAACAACAACAACAAACAATCTCTGCACTCTGTTGACGTAAGATGAGAAAAAAAGGAGAAAGTGGGAGGAGAAGATAGAAACCAGGACATTTTAAGGAGCCAAAAGGTGAGACAACAGAAGATTAATTGGGACTGTTCTTGTCAGTTTGGGAGAATTAGATGTAATGGAACCTATGGCCCTTCAGATGTTGCTGAGACTACAGCTCCCATCCACAACACAGCCAACAGTGGGGGACGATGGGTTTTGCAGTCCAACGACAGCTACACATCCCCCATCTCTGTCACAGTGCCTGCAGGCCTAACATTCCCAAGCACAGCACCTCCTGACTTTAGAATAAAAATGTTCCTGTCCTGTATTGTCTACACTGCCCATCTGGTCGGGAAATGAATGGAGCTGGCACAGCAGACATTACAACCCTGTAGGATTTTATCA